GTAACACCAACTCCCACAAAAAGCACAAATTCTACGTCCACTTCTGTAACACCAACTTCCACAAAAAGCACAAATTCTACGTCCACTTCTGTAACGCCAACTCCTACAAAACCCACAACCAATTCTACAGGTTGAAGAAAAAATTCTAATTCTGCTTCTAAAGTAACCAAACCAAATGAAACAGCTCTATGTTAATTTTATATATTTTTATAGTATTATAAACTATCTTAGTTATTTTAAACTAAATATTGTTATAAAATTTAATTTTTTAAGCTTGTAAGTCTACGTTATGTTCTTTACGTTTCACATAAAATAAAATATGTTTTAAAGTTGTTTCTTTTGTAATATATTTTTCTTTAAGAAAAAAAATAGAATAAATGACAGTACATACAGGGTCTCCTAGCGAGTTGAAAAAGTCTATTAGTGACCTTTAAATGGTAAAATTTAAAAAAAGTTATATAGGACATTGATAGATACTAATCTAGTGCACCACCTAAAAATATTTTCAACCATACAGCATGTCTCAAAAATAAGTTGTGTTTTTTTAAATAAAACACCGTATGTTTCTTGGCATTTTTAGATGTAGCCTTTTAAAACAATGTTTTTACGGTAAACTTTTATTAGTCGATTTTGCTTAGTTTTAGAAATGAGACGTTTTTTTTGACGAAAATAAAAATTTATTACACAAAACTAAGGCAGCTGGAACAAATTTATTCTGCAAAAAAGAAAGTACAAAATTTAAAGCTGTAGCAATTTTTTAGTGTTTTACATTTGTAAAGATTAACAAATTAAGAAGTTTGTTAAAAGTTTAATAACTTAAAAAAATTAAATGTTCTTTTTTGTTTTGGCATCTAAGAGATTGTTAAATTGTCTGTCTAAAAAAATAAACTTTTAATGTCTAGAATTGATAAATGAAAAAAATATTTAACATCCAATATTAATTGTATCAACAATGCCTGAGCATTGTTGATACTATGGCAACCATAATAATTCCACCACGGATCATTTATCCGTTGATTTATCCAGATTGTAAAATCGTTATAAATACTGAAATTTAAATTATTTTATTGTAAAAATAAAAAATAACGGATTCAGTTTAACACAAATGTGATTATTAAGTGATATTTCTTCCATCTCTTGCCTTCTGTAACAATAGTAATTTTTTTTAATGTTTAACGTTAAATATCTTTTTAGTTATTGATTATAAAAACCTAAAAGTAAATAATTTTAGAAAGACAATTTAATAATATTTTAAATGCAAAAAACAATAAATAGGGTGTTCAAAGTTATTGAACTTTTAACAAACGCCTTCATTTTTTAATCTTTGCAAATGCAACACACTTAAAAAAATGTTACAACCTTATAGCTTGTACCTTCTGCTTTGCGGTAGTAAAAAAATATTTCGGGATGTCTTAGTTTTTGTGTAATAAATTTTTAAAAAGTGCATATTTTGGTCATAAAACCGTCTTTATTTTTAAAACTAAGCAAAATCGACCAATAAAAGTTTAGCTTAAAAACATTGTCATAAAAATCTACATCCAAAAACGCTAAGAAACGTATGGTGTTTCATTTAACAAAACACAAGTTTGTATTGTAACTGATTTTTAAGACAAGCTGTGTAGTTGAAAATAATTTTAGGCGATTGACTAGATTAGTTATCGATGTCCTATACCTATAATTTTTTTTTACTTTTACCATTTCAAGGTCACTAATGGACTTTTTCAAACTGCTGAGACACCCTGTATATTAAAATTTTTATTTTATTTCAACAGAAAATATTATTATATTATTTCTCATTTTGAATTTTAGAAAAGGATGTCTATAAACGCAGTGTATAAAAGGAATATAATATATAAAAGTTATGACGAGCTCGAATCAATAGCAGAGCAAGTGTATTGCTCTGGGTAGTGTTTCATGTATGCATTTCTGAACTTAAGACTTACATTGTTACGAGTAAGTTATATAGAACTTCACAAAGGTAATATCCCTTTAACAAAAACTTTCAATATTCTGAAAAGTTCCTCTTTTAACACTAGTTAAATAAAACAAACATCGCCTCAACACTCATTAATGTTACCTAACTAAAAGGCCAATCGCTTACTTCCAGTTCCAAACTCGCATTTCTCAGAAAGGCAGCTTTCCAATATTCGCTCGAACAAAATTGATTAGCTTTCGGAGGAGCTTTGAAACTTTTTCAACTAATTGATATGAAGTTTTTAAATATTTCAACCTGTTTATCTGACGACCATATAAATCCTTCCTGTCACAAATTAAATTGGCACTTATTGTGGCAAATTTTTAAAAATAAAATTTGCGAACACACCTGCTCATTCATTAATTTTCGAGTAATTAGGGAAATTAAGCTGCATTAATTTCAAACTTGTTTCAACAACTCTCGGAAGATGTACATACGTCTTTATTCCACACCTCGTGTTTGATGTTTTTCAACGAAAAATTTAAGCTTTAGGACTCAAGTCGAAGTAGGAGTACAAAGAAAATGCAGGATTATGTTACTGAAACTAGATTATAAAAACAAATTGTTAAAACAAAATTAAGATGTATTACAAAACATATTTTGTTTCTTTTTTCTGTTGTCGGATTAGTCATTCTGAACAAGCCGATAAAACATTATTTTGTTTCAAATAATTATTTTAATAAGATTTTCGAGCTTCCACGCTATACAATGTTAAACTGTTCGCAAAGCGTTGATTGGTAGCGCCCCCATCAGCCCCTCGAAAGTTATTTGAATTACGAATTGATCTAAATCTAGTGCACTGTGTAAATATGACGTAATGCATATAAACAAGCTGGTTGTGTACATTTGTATCAGTACGATTGGCTTTCATATGGCTCTATAATAAATTACTTCCATCAATTAATCGTTTACATAATTGTGAACTCTGTTTTATTTCCGCTTGCAACTGCTTAACAATAACGGGAAATATGGTAAAACGTATGATATAGAGTTTCGATCATTGATGCGAATTCCGACACATGAGCAGAAAAGTGGTGATTTATCGAAAATTCGGATGCTCGATACGTGCTCTCGATATTTTAATACGGGAAGAGTAGAAGTTATCGGATATGCACTAGCTGATAACGGAAAAATAGAATTTTCAGAAAAAAGTGATCTTTTATTATTACATTTTTTTTGTATTTGGAAAATTGTAAAAAAAAAGTTTGTTTTTAATTTAAATCTTTTCTTACAATCCTAACAAAAAGCACGTATTTCCATACCAATTTGTTAAAATTACAATAAAAATATGTATTCGTGATCCAGTAGAAACGGAAAAACTTGCTGCTAGATTTAATGACAAAATGAGGATATCAAGACAAATTGTTAGTTTTTCTTATTGGATTGTAGGAAAATTATATGTATTACACAGGAAGAAAGTGTCTTTTTCTCTTTGGGTGGTTATTAGTTACTGGTTACTTTCACCTGTGAGAGGAAAGAATACACTTTCCTCCCTTGCATTACAAATAATATTAATTTAGAAAAATTAACCCAGCAAAAAAAAAATTTTTTCGTTATCTTCATATGTTCAAAATTTGAACATTTTTATTAAAATTGGCAAAAATCTAATTTCTTCTTAATTTCAAA